TTTCCCCCCTTTTCCAATTAAAGAACCGTAATTCGTCCATTAATATCACATGACATATCCCATGATCTCTCATTTCCCTCACACAAAATAATGCGTAATTGGAACTGAGTACTGCTCACATTATTACCAAAGTCCCAGGTAGTAACCTTTATCGCCTCCAAAATGTCGCCAAACTACCAGTTACCATATTGTAAAGATCAGCCAAAAATTATTGTACTTTTTTTAATGTTTCATAACTCTATTGGGTTGCCCATCCATCACAGACAACTAATGGTTGTCTTGCTTGGGTCTGGCGCAATATTAAAAAATAAATAAATAAATAAAAATAAAATAATAAAGCACCAAACAAGACACACAGACCTTTTTCTTAGGCTTCAAAATCAGAAAAAGAAAAAAAGAGTATTTTTCCCATTTTGCCGGTGTAGGCGATAAGGTCGTCAAAAATGGTACAACCAATGCCAAACGGAATATCCTCGCTCGTAACATTTTATGCCTCATTTTTAAAACAAGTCACAGCCATTTTAGTTAGAGTAGACTTTAACATACCTCTTATATTATGATGAAGTTGTTGTTTCACTTATCGCCAAGTTGTTTCATTTATGGTAGCCTCAGTAGTTGAATGTTATGGAAATCCTATTGTGACGTAATTGGGTGCATGATTCTGGGAAATTTTGAATCATGGAATGTTTTGTAAGTGCTTTTGTGGTGTGTGTTAGTTTTATTGTTTAGACAGTAGAAAGGCTTAATGTAGTAAGATTAATTTGAAGTTTCTGTACGATTTGGAATGGAAGGGAAAAAAAAAAAGCATCAATTGACTGGTGTGTAAATGAAGGTTTAATTAGTAGCCATTATAAGTGTTCTGTATGTAGGACGGATATGCATCTAGTCCAACGTAAAAACCATTTAGGTGGATTTGAATGGGTTTGTAGGAAGAAAGGTTCAGATGTGGCGACGTCGATATATGGATTCGAGTTCAGATAATTTTAGGAAGTTTTTGGATGCTGTTAAGGAATTTTGTGTGCCACAGACTAAAGATGAAGGAACTTTTAAATAGGGTACATGAATATTTGCTTTCTGTAGTGCTTAAATGTATAACATGTTTTTCCATTTTCATGTTATTTTATTGTTTGGTTTAAACTGTAATTTACTGAGATTATGTATTTTTTTTTGTTTGCCTGCATTGTAGAATTGAGTGCTCCTTTGACTTTTTAAGTGAAAATATATCGATGTGTACATGGACAAAGTGAAAGGAGTGCACAATGCAAGTTTGTGCAATTCTTGGATTTTTTTAAAGTGAAAATAGGTCGACATGTACATGGAAAGTCAAGGGAGTGCGCAATGCCATTTTTGTGAAATTTGGGGATTTTTTTTTTTAAAGTAAATATGTTGATGTGTACAGAGATACTGAGATTGTGCAATTCTTTTGTCTTGTTATTTTGGCTTTGTGTGGTGGCGATGTTTAGCTCAAAAATCGCCGTTATGCAAGCCAAAATATTAAGTCAAAGAATTGCACAAACTCTGTATCCATGTACTGCCAAAAATTGCTAAGGGGTACCCTAAAATATACTTTTATCACCATTTCTTATCAGATTGATTATTTCTTTCGATACTGGCATACAATTACATAGAATTTCTACCAGATAGTTCAATTTTATGCCCCAAGGTCATTTGCGGTAATTAAGTTAATTAGGATGCAACAATCACACTGCTCATCCAAAGGCGAAAATATAGAAAAGGCAAAGTAAAGGGTTAAATTCATCAATTCTAATGAGAATGCATTAGCAAAGTAAGCACTGCAGTTTTACATAATTTCTGAGTAAGCTATCCGTATGAATTAAAATGATCCTTGCATTTAAACTTAACTTAACCTTGCATTTAATCTGCATATTAAGATTTAACATGAAATTAATGTAGATAATTACTGAGGGAATTAGATTTTTGTAGCGTAGTTTATGCGAGATGAGATCACTTGGGATCATGTGAGATGAACTGGCAAATCAGGATGCTAGTTCATGAAAGCATAGTAAATTCTTAAATGAATGTCTTTTTACAAAATTTTATACGATATTAAAATGTTTACTCCTTCAAAATAAAAAAATTCTTAGAACTAATATTTGTTAACATTTTTTATGTGTATACTGTGTGTTGCCAAATAAAGTCTGCTTGGCGAGATTTGCGCCAGTGAAACAGAAAAGTATAAAAAACACTGCCAAACTACTGTTGAAGACAATGATGTGAAAAAGTATTATGTTAACCCCATTGCAAATAAGGAAGCATAACAGAAAATAACTATCTATAAATATTATTGTAATTAGATGAAAGGTTAATTTTACATATTAAATTTTTTATTACAATCCATTAAAAAAAACTGAAATCGAGGTGCTATCTAGCAATGTGCCAACAGCATTTCTAATGCTATTTAGCACTGCCTCACAGCTGCTCTATATTTTGTGTATAATACTCACTTCAGGGTTGACAAATTAATACAGTATAAAGTCCGCAATCCACACTCGTCAGGACTTCGGCAATTCCTGATTAGAGGTTTTTCTGGGTTATAGATCATCAATTTAAATCTGGTAAGATGGCATGCAGAAATTATACAATTAAAAATATGAAACCGTAATTTATGAAATAAAGAGCAATTATAATCTAAAGGGTATCAAATTTTACAAAAAAAAAAAAGCTTAATATTTATTTGTTTACTTTATTAAACATTTCTTTCAACGCGCACATGCGTAAAGCATAATGTATGCACATTCTTTACATGCATGTGTAAAGAATGGTCCGGCTTGAGGTCTGGATTATAGATCATTCAGGATAATGGACATCCGGATTATGGACTTTGTACTGTACTTGTTGTTAGCAGCAAAATGTTCAAAGCAAGCATCTCGCAATTCATCTGATTCACATGTTTTCCAGCAATCGGTATAAGTAATGCTTCCTTCTGTGATATCTTGATGATGACATACAATAAAGCTTTCACCAATTGATTTGGAACAGTGACCAAAAGAACATTAATTCGATTCCCTGCACAATCCACAGAAAGCCCATTCTTGCCAAAGAGCCCACTTGACAATGTTTTTTGTTCAAATGAAAAGGCTTTTGTCTACTTCAGTAGTATTGTTACTTCAGCCACTAAATCTGTAACACATATCTCACACAGGTTACTCTTCCAGCCTACAGATGTACTGTGGTTCATCTTCAGCTGGAGTTCATACAATTTGATAGATTTCATATCCTGACACCAAAAATTGATGACCTCATATCTGTACAGAAAGGGATTTGCAATCCTTCAAATGAGTTTTGTGCTCTTAATCCTTTCTTCTCATTATAAGATTCTTTCCTGTAGCACCACTTTGCTATTGATAAATACAATTAAATCTCGTGGTTCTTTGAGCATGGTTTTCTATCATGAATGATGTCTTTCCTTTAAAAAAATTCTATAGTAGACTTTTCATCCTTGGGCAATTAACAAATTATTAGATCCACAGCATTATCAAAATTTTTTAAAAATAAACCTGCATTTTAATAGTGACTTAAAAATCTAGAACTATCTAAATTTATAATATCTAAATTCATGCATATTTAGAGAAATTTAAATTTATGCACAATTAGTGATTAAATGGGCACCATTGCTGGAGTTAGTGCTTTTGTGTATATATTTTCACTGCAGTTTTGTATGGTTCCAATCATGGAATTGTACCTTAATATGTCTGATTATCATCAACCAATTTAAATTAAGCATCACTGGTACTGCTAGTTGATGCAGCATATACCAACACTTTGCTAAAATTTCATAGTCCATACATAAGATATCACAGTTTTGAACTAGTTTAAATCCTTATATACTTCTAATATGGGAAAAGTGCAGAATCACCCACTGCTTCGCGCATTTCTCAAAATCACGCGCCATATAAGAGGGCGATTCTGCATCGACTTGAAAATAACAAGTCAAAGAATTGCACAAACTCAGTATCCATGTGCACATCGACCTATTTTCACTTAAAAAAAAATCAGAGAATTGCACAAATGTGGCATGGCACACTCTCTTGACTTTGTCCATGTACACATTGATACATGCCATATAAGTGGGCGTTTCTGCCCTTTACCCTCTAATACAATTATTTCCGTTTTTGATGCAAACGTAAAATCATAAAAATAATGATTTCAGTAGTTGTCATTCACAATTATTTAACATTTCATCTAGTTAAAAAATAGAGGTTAACAGGTGCATTCCGATATCCAGCTCGAAAGTTCAGTGTTTAAATGGTTTATTTATTTATTCAAAGTGTTCAATGAACTGATATCCGCTTCAAGTTCAAACTTACACTTGAAGCAGAAAGCTGTTATGATAAATGACTGTAAATTAATTTAAAACAATAAATATATAAGCGAAGTATAAACGGCATGGCAATTTTAGTCTGATAACTTCACTTACCAGTGTGTAATGCCAAGGATATGAAATTCTCAGATGTTCTTTTAAGGGAAAATAGAACCTTGTGTATAAGAATGAAAATCAGTAATGTAACATACCATATGATATACATAATGTTTAATGTGAGCAATGCCGAGGTTGAGAACGATGCCAAATTCACCATATGATATACATAATGTTTAATGTGAGCAAAGCCGAGGTTGTGAAAGATGCCAAATTCGTAAAATTCTTTGACAATAACAGATAAGAACTTATCTCATATGAAAACATGTACTATAGAGCAGTGTTTTTCAACTGGATTTACTCCAAGGCCGGGTAAAATATTTCGGTACGTTCTCGAGGACCGGTAAGTTTAATGATTCGAACCATTGGCACAATTTTTTCACATAAATAAATATTAAACTAAAAAAACTATAGTTATTAAAACGTACGTGCTGTTTTCATATCGGTTGTCGGGCGATGACACTTTGAATTTTGGACAGTAGATGGATATTTCGCGGACCGGCGGTTGAGAAACACTGCTTTAGAGTATCTTATATACTCATTTAAGTGAAGAGCATCTTACTTTTAGCGAGAAATCTCTCTTCGTGAAGTACAGCAATAGCATTAATGCATAATAAAGTAGCTTCGAATAAATTATACAAAGTTACAGCCATTATTTATTGATTCTCCAAAGAATTAGTAAAAAAAAAAAAATTCTATAACTACAACGTTAAATTACTCTACAAACGTTTCCATTTCAAAACCAGAATTAAACTGCGGTAATAATGTGGCCAACAAGCATATTCTTAACTTTTTATGCAATTATTAGAAATGTAGAGTTTTTAATTTTTTCTCCTTTTTGAAGAAGTAAAATAATATATAATTGCTTTCTAACATTTTAAAATTAGGAATTAAATAATTACTAGTTGAATTACGACTATTAATAAGTACATAATTAACACAGAAATGCTATATACTGTGCTGATAGCCATAAGGTTGTGCCACCGTTTCTGCCGTGGAACCGTTTTAACATTTATAACATGGAAATTGGCAACTCTTTTTACGTTTCTGGGAAAATGTCGTTTAATGCAAGTTTCTAATTTTTGAACAATGAAAATTCTTAAGCGCTTGAAGTATAATTGCTTTGGTACATATATGTATGCAAGAGCGCATAATTGCTTGATAAAGATGTAACCTATGTTTATTTATAGATTACTCTATCATAATTAAACATAAAAAAAGTTCTCAAAATTTCAATTAAGTAAGGAAAATTGATTATAGTGTATCATATTTTCTGTATGTAGAATAAGTGTTTCATATATTATCATGACTGGGTTAAGACGATCCAGGGTTTTAATGACTGAATTAAGACGATCAAGGGTTCATATATTATCATGACTGGGTTAAGACGATCAAATGTAAAATTCTTTGAGACGCTCTCTAATGCTTGTTTTCAGCCAGTTTTTTTCAAAAGGTCATCCACGAAGGCAACTTGGCAGGTAGTCGTACTGTGTGCCTAGTACAATCTAAAATCTTGGTTTTGTGAGAGAAAAAAAAATTATAAGGAGTTGCAGAATAATTTTGTGCCTTATGGGTTGAAGCAAAAATCAGGCATTGCTATTTTCATTATTCTTAAAACCTATAATTACTCTACACACACGTTTCCATTTCAAAACAAGAATTAAACTGTGGTAATAATGTGGCCAACAACCATATTCTTAACTTTTTATCTAATTATTAGAAATAATTTTACAAACTTTTACAAACAATTTTACAAATGAATACAAATAACCCAATGTATTGTATTGCATTGTTTAGTATTTTATGCGCGGAAATGCAAAAATAATAAGGGGTAATTTGCTTTTAAAGAAATAAATTAATATGTGTGCATTAATAGAAATTTCATCTGTGAGTATGTATATCTTTATTGTACTACTTCCTTATTGTCGATTACAAATGAGAATATCTATGAAAAATTATTACCACAGTTAGTGTATATTTGTGGTGATTATGCATGTTTTTTTTCGGGAGTTTTAGAAAAACTTAAATTGATTTTTAATGATACTTTTCGGAATTTAGTTAGTTTCTCTTTTTGTTTGTGTTTCTGTTTAATTTTAGTTCATTTAGACAGATTTTCTTTTGTATATTTGCTTGTTAGTTCTTTGATGCGTCAATCGGGTTTTGTATTGTATTGCATTGTTTAGTATTTTAATGTTTTTCTTATTTCATATTTTAACTGTTTTGCACTATTTTATACTTTTCATCAGCTTTCCGTACTTATTGCTCTTTAGATTTAATATGTTAACAGACAAGAATTGATTTGGTAAAAGTTTACAAATGGGTGACCCTTGTTTATTGGCGATTCTTTTTTGACGCCAAGATCGGCGCCAGGAAGGCACAATTTCAATATGGCCGCTACACAAAACCAAAATAAGAAGTCAAAGAATTGCACAAGATCTGTGTCCACGTACACATCGATCTGTTTTTACTTAAAAAATCCTAGAATTGCACAACTAGGCATTGAACACTGCCTTAAATATGTCCATGTACACATCAATCTATTTTCATTTAAATAAAATCGGGAAGCTAAAACAAAGTTAAAACTATCGTGGTAACCAAAAGTGAGGTTTTATCGGCAAAATTAAAAAAAAAAATTTTCGCCAATTGAAGGGACACCCAATTCTACATTAGAGCCATCGATTTTTAAATTTTGCTTTAAGTGTATAAATTCTTCAACCATATCCGTTATTTGATTAAATGCAAACATCAGAATATCATTCAAAATTTTTAGAAGTCAAATGGAACCTCTATTCTTTTGTTCATGTTTTGAAAACTATGCGTAACTTCAAATTGTCACTTCATCATATTACAGTCAAAAATCGTTAATTCGGGCACCCATAATCCGGAATGATCTATAATCTGGACCTCAAAGCTACAAACTTTCTGCACATGCATCGCATTTACGCGTGCATGTAAGACCTTTACGGCTGCGAATATGCGTGTGTGCATGCGCATTTAATGTATAACGGACGGTATAAGCTAAGCTAAAATTATCTAATTCAGTTAATGTTGCAGATTGCGTTGTTCCTTAATCTTCGAATTCGATCCGGCTTATTATTTTTTGCAGACTGTTAGAGCAATTTTATAAAAGTAAGCTTGAACTTTCGATTATATCAAAAAGAATTTCTGATTTTGGAGCTGCCAAAGGATCTACAAAGCAGAAGCATGTTTCGACGTCCATCAAACAAAAAATGGATAAAGGCATATCCTTTGTTTCTTTAACCATTCCGAAATCTGTTTATCAATTTCACGCTGCTCTGTGGTGGGGGGCGTCGCTGTGCAATGAACTGGAAGTTGATCTGTCAGCACTATCCTTATCTTCAGGGCAGATGTTTTTATTTTATATGGCTTATAGTTCATTACTAAATGTAGTATTTTGTCTCGATGTACTCTGATATGATCTAAATCAAATTCATTATAAATATCACAAATACACATCAAATAGGTTTCTGTTTACAATTTTCTAATTTCGACTATGCGTAATGTATGCTTTACGCATGCACTCGTTGAAAGAAATGTTTAATAAAGTAAACAAATAAATATTAAGCTTTTTTTTTTGTAAATTTTGATACCCTTTATATCATAATTGTTCTTTATTTCATAAATAACAGTTTCATATTTTTAATTTTGTAATTTCTGCATGCCATCTTACCAGATTTAAACTGATGATCTATAATCCGGAATCGCCGAAGTCCTGACGAGTCCGGATTAACGACTTTTGACTGTATAAGAAATACTCGTAGTCATTTGAATATGAATTTTATTACCTTCATTCAAAAATTGCTAGTTCTACTTTAAATTTCACCCTATTTGATCATAAATCTTGGTCTATAACTGATACTGCTTGTCAATGGCATAAAAAAGTCCTCTCTTCTAAATTCCAAAATATCACAACCCATCATTGTATAGCCCCACCCAAAGTTTTAATTTTCTCGCTGTAAACACTAATCCCGTTGTTAATATCTGTATTGTTACTGGTTATCTGGAGTTCTGGATTTCAGATCTTATATTGAATTTGCATTTCTGCCTTTTTTTTTTACTAATTTGCCTCTTGGAAATAAGAGAGAAAAAGAAAAGTATGTAGTATATGGCATTTCTGAGGGCAAGGGTTGAGTGAAGAATGTTAAAAGGCACTCATGACTAAATATGCTGATATCCTGTTTTTCAAAGTTGTTAGTTACAGCTATTCTAATAATATGATTTTTGCTTATGCTGTGTATTTTCCTGTCGATCCATGTAGAAATTCTTAATTCATGTAAAATGTGGGAGTGGGCAATACAGGTAAAGCTATGTAAATAAATAGAGTACAGTATAATGCCTGAGATCTGGACGTCCATTATCTGGAATGATCTAAAATCCGGACCTCAAAGCAATCACCAACTTTTTTATATATTTATTTTGCATGTGTGTGCATTTGCTTCCCCACCCGCACATGTGGAGAGTCTCGGTTCTTAATTTCACTTCAGCACTAAATAAAATACAGTTAAAAGTCTTTAATTCGGACACCCATGATCTGGATCTCAAAGCTACAAACTTTCTGTGCATATGCGTGCGCGTAAGACCTTTATGGCTGCGAATGTGCGTGTGCGCAAGCACATAATATGTTTACGCATGCGTGTTTAATGTATAACGGACGGTATAAGATAAGCTAAAATTATCTAATTCAGTTAATGTTGCAGATTGTGTTGTTCTTTAATCTTCGAATTGGATCCGGCTTATTATTTTTTGCAGAGTGTTAGAGCAATTTTATAACAGTAAGCTTGAACTTTCGATTATGTCAAATAGAATTTCCGATATATATTTACTAATATGTAAAGGATCTACAAAGCGAAAGTATGTTTTGAAAACCGAAATCTGTTTATCAATTTCACGCTGCTCTGCGGCAGGGGGGGGGGCAGAAACACCGCGGCGCCCAATGAATTGGAAGTTGATCTGTCAGCAGTATCCTTATCTTCAGGGCAGATGTTTTTATTTTATTCGGCTTATAATTCCTTACTAAATGTAGTATTTCATGCGTAATGTATCCTTTACGCATGCGCACGTTGAAAGAAATGTTTGTTAATCTTCAGATTATGATGTTTTTATTTTATTTGGCCAATAATTCCTTACTAAATATAGTATTTCATCTCGATGTACTCCGTCTTTGATATGATTTTAATCAAATTCCTCGTCATTATAATTCGCTTCCGATAGTGAAGAATGTAACAGAGAGGTTATTGAAAACGAAAAAATTTAGATTGACAAATTAGTCGGTATTCTCGACACAGCAATTATAGGAGTTGAACAGCGGAACTTTGTAACTAAACAAGAAATTATGTCTGTTTAATAGAATTAAAGAGAAAGTATTGTCACATGAAATGAAGCAACTTAAACAACTTACATTGAAAGAAATGTTTAATAAAGTAAACAAATAAATATTAAGCTTTTTCTTTTTGCAAATTTTGATACTCTTTAGATCATAATTGTTCTTTATTTCATAAATTACAGTTTCATGTTTTTAATTTTGTAATTTCTGCATGCCATCTTACCAGATTTAAACTGATGATCTATAATCCGAAAAAATCGATAATCCGGAATCGCCGAAGTCCCGACGTGTCCCGATTAACGACTTTTGACTGTACCTCATTATTGAAGAATCAGTCATTTTAGCATAAATTTGTTTGATCAATAATTTGGCTCCATAGCTGTGTATCTGCTTAGCATAGATTTCAAACTGAAACATTATACATAGATGTATCGCTGATTTTACACCTACCAATATTTTATACCCCTGACGACAACCTGGCAAATTATTATTTGTTATATTTTACCTTCATCACTGCATGTTTATCAACACATGACAACTTGAGTAATAATGACTTATGTAGTGGCACCTAAACAATTTTATATATATATATATATATATTAGCAATTGAATGACAAAGAGTATGGTAATCTTTTATGTTTGCATTACGCTTGGTGATGATTACAGATAATGCGCTAAAACCTGTTGGCAGGAAAAATATAACAAGCATTTCTTTCCATATGCTAAAAATAAATTTTGTTAATGATACTTATAGGCTAAAAGATTACATCAAATCGGTATTTAAATTAAGAATAACTGATTTGTTGTTCAGATAAACCCAGAAGTAGTGCCAGAGCTTGTATGGCTGCACCGAACGGAGGAATTTAAGGAAGATAAAGAGAGGCACTTAGTAGCAT